TGACCAATCAGCACAGAGCAAGAACTCAGTGCTCAAGTGAAATCCAGGTCCGTTTAATTGAAATGGTAATTTACAATTCCTGTCCTAGCTCAGAGTGTCCTCCCTGACATGGATTATCTGGTCACCCTACTGAATGGTCTATCACCAGAGTATATTACTAGCTTACTGGTTCCATATAGCTTTGCTCTCAAGGTGCTGGCTACCTGGCAGGGCCTAGAATAGAGCCCCCTCATCTCCATACCACACTACAGATTACCTCAAGTAATTTCAACCATTTGTCACAGTTTTATTAATGCACTGTTAAATTCTCCTGATGGTGGGCAGATCCTTGCCTGACTACACGTCTGTTGTCCACCCCGGTTTGCTGCTGGACCACAACACCCCTCAATCCCACCAAAGGAAGCGGCTTCCTCACCTTCCTGCCCAGACGTCGGCTGGACCTTCCACATGTATACCTGAACTACACACAATTTTACTTGATAAATTGGGACTTTGTTATTCTATACTTCCTCTGCCGGCCCCTGGAGGCTGGCCTCCCCCTTTGAGTTTGGTTCCTCCCAAGATTTCTTCCTTCTAGGGAGTTTTTCCTTATCCACTGTCACCTCTAGCATGCTCACTGGGGGCTTTGGGCAAGGATAATGTAAAGCAGTTAGAGACAATGTAATGTTGTGAAAATATGTTATACAAAAATAAATTGAATGTTCTGAATCAGACCAGGTGGTGTCCTTCTACACCTCAGCCATGTCCCACCCACCCCCCAAAAAACAGCCACCCAAGTCCCTCCAGATGATCTCGATTTTAAAAAGCACACAGAAAAATGACCAACACAAAAGAACCCATTCAGCTTCTCACTTTTATTATGTGAAATAGTTTTTTTTATATATATATATATAAACCTATAAAACAAATCTCAGAAGATCCTTTAAATACAGTATATCTGTTCTGTACATCGGTAGTGTCCACAGGCTAGTGCCATGCTGGGCTGTAGCGTGAACCCACGCCAAGTTGTGGCTTCATGGGGGAGGGAAGCCCCCCCCCCCCTCCCCAGCTGCAGGTTTCAGGATGCTGGGAAGCTCCTGAGTAAATGCGGGGCTCATTAAAGCAGGTGGAATGGAGGAGAGTAGCCAGGCTAGATGAGCAGAAGGCATGAATCACTCACACACAGATACAGGTCTTCAAGCCATCTTCCTCTGATTGCTCACAGGACACCTTCGGGAAAGCCGTGCGAGTCCAGCTCAGGTAACAGTGTGAAACCGGGTGGGGGGGGGGGGCAGTTTTGTCTAAGTTCCTCTTTGCTTCCCTGAAATAGCATAAGGATGGTCCAGCACCGGAAGACAGACTGACTGAAGGGGGGGGGGCTCGTCTCACAGTCCACATGCACCCTCTGTTCACAGCACCCACATCTGGGACTGACCTGCATGTGCCTGAACACTAACACAGAAGCACGATCCACATCAGGCAGGTGGGGGGGCAACTGCAACTGACCGGCTCAGGACCAGAAGGTACCACTGGGGGGAACTGGGGTGGCAAAGTGTGCATGTGTGTGTGAAATGGTTCCTAACAGCGCAGCAGGGTGATCTCTTCCCTTTTTGTCATTCTTTGTGATGAATAAACAGCAGCGCAGATGAACCAGGAGCTGGGCTGAGAGTGAGGACAGGCGAGTAGTCAGGGAAGATGCAGGAACACGGGAAGGAACGACGAAAGGTGAGCGAGGTAAGGGCACTTTCAGCACAGGGCACCATGCCCAATAGGGCCCAGGAGGTGTGAGGGGCGGGGTCTCACACATAAGGCGGGGCTGGGGGAGGCCAGGGCACAACACTCCGATATCACCATATCTAACAGGGTGTTTCCTTCGGGCTTTGCGTGTGCGTGTCCGTGTGTATGCGTGTGTGTGCACACATGTGACATCCATGTAGCCAAACACTCTCCTGCCCCCCCTCAGCATAGATGGGCCACACCCAACAGCGGAAGCAGGTTTCTGCCAGTCAAGGAAAGAGGGATGAAAAGAAAAAAAAAAAAAACTGCAAAAGGCAAGTGGCCATCAGTGACAGGGACACAGTCAGCCAGTTTATCCCTTCATGTAAACACAGGTAAACAGCAACAAGGCATTGGTGCAGCTTGCAGCGCCCCCTAGATGTAGTCGTCCTCAACTGGTTCCCCACGCACATCACAGTAATGGATGAAGACGGCGACCACGCGTTGGAAGACGCCACGCCGCGTCTGCCGCCTCTCCGAGATCTCCTCCCCGATCGTCTCCATGCAGATGTCGGCGGACAGCTGGCCCTTCCTCCGGGGGGCATAGATAGTAGCTATGGAGACAGGGAGGGGGGGGTGGTGTCTCTGACCAAACTGAATTACATGCCACCCGGAATGTAAACAAACCACCATAAAATGCTACACAGTCTGAGAAATCAAGCAGACACACGATCATCTGTCAGCAATCTAACACCTTCCCACCCACACGCCCCCCACTCACTGCTCTCGTCGTCCTCGAAGTCATAGCGAGCGTAGCTATTGGGCTCCGCGGTCCGCAGCGAGCGAAGCCACGGGAAGTCCGTTATCATGGAATAGGGGGCGCCATCCACCAGCCCTGTAGGGGAGGAACGGCGAGTAAGGGGAGGCAGGCAGAATGCACAGCAGCTGGAAGAAGCATGCAGACTCTGCTGAGGGGGGGGGCTGCACAGAGCAGCTGGGGAGGGGGTCCTATGCCCTCGCTTGGGTCCCTAGGGGTATGAAGTACAACTCTTTGCTCTCATGACCTCACGCAACAGGAAGCTTCAGACTGAATAGGCTGCCATTTTGGTTTGGGAACTCAGAGGAGGCTACGTTCACACACACAGAGACACACACACACACACACACACACACAGAGACACACACAGACACACACACAGACACACACACAGACACACACAGCCCCTGACCCTCCAGCTGTGACCAGGAAAACCTGTCTGTGCTTTGCTGCCACACATTTGATTTAAATGCCTGCAGATAAGACAGACGGAGCAATACTCCCCGTTCCTGAAATGATCCTGTTTTTTCTTGTTGCCGTTAGATTCTCAGCCTTGGGGCTCCGTAGGCAACTTTCTACGTGGCTGGTCAGCGTGACAGGATAGTGCCACCGTCCCCAAGGGTCCCAGTCTCACCCTCCAAGGTGTAGATGTCTCGGCCCCAGGGGTAGCTGGGGTACTTCTTCACATCCTCTTCGGTCCGTGTCGCCTCTGGAAAGAACTCATACTTGATGAGCTCCCTGTAGGAAAGGGAAAGCTTATTTACATCCCCAAGGCATGATTTTCCCCCAACGCAGGAAGGAAAGGGGAGCTCATTCAAAGCAGAACCGCGATAACAATCTCAATTACACTGAGCAGAGCATGATATACATCTGCCCGATGGATGCACTGCGTTTTGACATCGCTGGCACACAGTGCCACCTGCTGGTAGAACTGAATTATATCTGGTGGAAAATGCTGTCATCTGGTGGGAGATTAAAAAGCCTGTAGGTCTGGAATTAGAGTTGAAGATTTCTAATACATAAATCAGTAATTACGCTGCCCTCATTGTGTTCGAATGACTGCATGCTTCATGGTGGGGACTCACTGGCTGATGTTGGCAATGGTATCCATCCAACTGCGCACGCGCACTTTATTCCGCACATTTGGGGGGTTGCTGAACTCGTGGATGATGCAGATGTGATACGGGTACGGTCCACAGAACAGCTTCCTCTCCAGGGCCAGGGAATCTACCTGGGACAGGAGAGAGCAGGTCAGATGGGAGACCCTGAGTTAGGTGACCTAGGAACCAGAAATGGGCTCCAGAACTGGAGGAAATAAATGACAGGCAAATGAGAAGGAGCAGGACTGACAGATGCTGCCGAACCAGGTGGGAGTGAATCGTATGGGATGGAAGCAGGGTGCGGTGTGTGGTGGGCACGCCCCTCCCCTACCTGCTGCATGGGTCGCATGTAGATGATGCGGTTCCTTTCGGGGGGCATGCGGAGAATCTGGTCTAGCACCTGCTCCATGTTCAGCTTCCTGCACTGGGCGTAGTCGAAGCGGTTCACGATGGGGGCGTTCTCCACCTTTAGGTGCTTCAGCACCCGGCAGCGTGTTGCTGAGGGGGTGGAGGCACAATGGGGGGGGAGGGGTCACAACATGGAGTTGACGACCATGCGGCGTCTGGGAGGGGGGGCTGTGACCCTACCGTGGACAAACATCATCTTGGGGCACTCCTTCAGCACCAGGTCGGTGATGCCGCAGTTGGTGAGCGTGATCCCCACCAGGTTCTTAGATTTCAGAGTCAGCACCTGAGGGAGGGAAGATTCATGAATGTGCCCTGACAGGAGGGGTGGCTAAACCACCAGGGGGGAGGGGCCAACCTGCACATGGTCGTCCTCTGTCACCGGGTCACTGGTGCTGGTGGACTTGTCTGCCGTGCGCTTCCTCTTCCCCACAACCCGGGGCTTGGCCTTTGCCAGCTCTGTAAGGGGTGATGTCACATGACCACTCACAAAATTAACAAGTCAGTTCCTTTATCGTGTCTATAACACAGAAAGCCCACAAGATGGCAGCAGAGAACATCTCTCCGCACAGACCCTACCTGACTCAGACACCAGTGAGACTGAGGAGAGTCGACTGCGGGCTCGAGTCATGGGCCGCCGTGGGAATCCTTCCCGGGGGGCAGGGTCTCCCACAGAGCCCTGCATGCTCCTTGCACCCGATCTCTCACCACCAGCACCAGTGGAACCCGCTGCCACGCCCGTACCAGCGCTGGCTTCACTATTAGGGTTCCTGGGCGGTGCTCCTGGCCCGGGCTCCTCTCCCCTGGCACTGCTGGCCCCGCCCTGAGTCCTGCTGCATGTGCAGCGCGTCCTGACGGCTCCCTCACCGCCCCCCGCCCCAGGCTCCGCCCTCCCCTCCCGATTGGCCGAGTCCTCCCTCCAGCGGATGGAGCAGACGCAGCCTCCCACTGCGCAGCCACTCCCCGCTGCATCCCTAGTGACCCGCCCCCCCCGCTCGGCGGTGTCCGAAGCCGCTTTCATGTCCGCCTTGATCTGCTCGCTGGTCACCTGACAGCCCTTTTCGCAGCTGCGCTCCTGGGGGGGCGGTCCCCTCCGACGCAGGGGTATCTTCCCTTTGCCTTGGGGACAAGAGACAAGGACAATAAGTCACATCGTGATGTGATATTTTCAGTGACAAACAGCTCTCCCAATCGGATCCAGATGTGTGTATGTAATGCTGCTTTTCCACTGGCATACTGGAACGGACCCGTACCTGAGGCGTACCGCAGAGAGAGACTAGTTACAGTGCGGTTCCAGCTCGCTTTGGTTTTCCACGGCAGAAGGGTCGGCTCAGTAAAGACGTGACCAGGTTTGGACAGTGACGAATTAACTTGAGTAAATATGCATTAAAAATCCATTCCGGTATTTCCACGCACTTAAGCAGGGCCATGTCAGCATGGTTACCACTCGGGTTTGGGTCACATACTTTACAATGGAAAACCGTCAGTTCCCAGCACGGTTCGGTTCTAGGTGCCAGTGGAAAAGAATCATAATTCATAAGGCGCTGGAGGGTGGGGGCGTGACAGTTGCAGCACGGTCCCCAGGTCCGAGCTTCAAGTTGTCCACACACCGCTATGCCTTGCTGCGTCCTCCGCCTCAGGCAGCTTCTCACCGACATCCGAGTAAGATGACGTGGCCGGCCCACCCTCCTTTGCCGTGTCATCCTCGTCCTCACTCTCCGAGTCCGACACCATCACAGGGCGCTGTCTCACTGATGACTGGACCCCGCTGGGGCCTGGGGACCCAAAGGAGGAGGAATCAGGGTGGGAGGGGGCCCAGATAGAGGTGACAGCTTTGATCAGTGGCACAGCTGGGTGTGACAGGTGCTAGATGCTAACTGATACTAACCACTAAAACCTGCAGGCCAGCTGGCTCAGACCAAACCAGACCAGAGGTTCCAGCACATTTCACCTTCATTTTACTTACAAGTGAGGTAAATACCACATCACAAACATAAATTGCTTTGCAGATCACGAGATATGAATTGGTGACCTTCCGGTGCTTTCATTACTAGACACACAGAGCTGGTTTGACATCCCACGGGCTTGGACCCTCACCCACACCCATGTCCAGGCACACCCACCTGCTTGTTCCTGGTCCACGGCTCGGGCCACGCCCCCCGCCTGGCTGGGGCCTGGTTGACCCCCCTCAGAGGCGCCTCCCGCCACTGACTCCACCTCCATGTTCTCCCGCTGTGGGTCCGCCTCAATGTCGACCACTGAAACACAAAGGCAGGCATGTCAGGATGCTGGCTGGTCTAGACTGAAGGGGAAAATGGGGGGGGGGGGGGGGGG